GCAACCCAGTGATCCGAAAGTAGCCAGAAAAATTCCAGCATAAAGCACGCATCTCTATGACAAGAACTTAAAGGAAAAAAAAAACACAAATGCCAATTCCGACCTATTCAAATTCCTCGAGCACAAATCATCATCCTTCAATTTCACATTCTAAAGAATTTAAATCCTTTCAAGTGCGGTTTTTGAAACCCAAAACCTTCCAGACCCAGAAAAAAATAAACAAATATATAGAGATGTTTATATGTTTCTTGAAAAATAGATGCTTTAAAGGAGAATATGCAGCGAGAATAGTACCTGAGTTAGAATCAGAAATGGGGTTTTGTGTACTTTGAAGACGAATAAACTAAAAGAACTTAGCTTTGCAGCAAATCTGAAAGTTAAAAAAGAAGCTTCTTTCTTCTTTTTGTTGATGGAGTTTTGACCAATAATTTCCAAATGCGTGTTTTGTGTGAGATGTGTGTTGGGGGTAGGGAGAATACAAAAGTAGAGTAGCTTCCTCTCTCCATACGAGTTAGCTTTGACAAGCTTTATCTCTCTAACTTTGATGGCGGCGGGCCATATGGGGCCCGGGCTTGCATTTTTCTCTCGGATTTCGGGATTATGTTCAGCAAGAAAGCGAAACGCTCATTATTGTTCTCGAGATACGCCCTTGAGCCCATTTTGGGAAAAAATGTACTTTTAAATAATGTATTGATAAAAATTATATAATTAAAAAAAATAATAAATTTTAAATTTGAGTATAATATTATTTTATTAAAAAATAATTATTAAAATGATATCAAAATACTGTTTAAAAAAATGTGTGTGTATATATATACACACCAAAAAATGGGACTCAAATAAGGACAAAAAAAGGGGTTATAAATTCTTGTTTGAGCCCTTTTTTTTGTTAAAAATATATTTTAGCATAATAATTTTTTTGGAAAATATATAGTTGAAAAAGAAGAAAAAGATTTGGATTTGAGTATAATATTATTTTATTGAAAAATATGTGATTAAAAATAAGAAAGAGAAAAATGTATTTTGATTAAAATGAGGCTCAAATGAAGATAAAAATTTAGGCAAATTTTGATAAAATTGTTTTATGATATTGCTGATTTTGACCTTCACATTTTACCAACTTTTTAAATTATTTCAAACAAGTATTAAGTCGTCATTTGGTATTATATTAATTTCATACACCTTCTGTCGCAAAAAAATATGATTATTTCCATTTTCACACAAATTAAGAAAATGTAATTAATATAGTTGAAAATATAATTTTTCTTACAATTTTCTAATATGCCCCTACATTAAATAATAATTTAAATAATAGTAATTCATATTTATTGATAACAAAACACGTTAAATAGATATATACACACACATATATAAAAGATTAGAAAACTAAGGTAACAAACATTCTTTCATTTATTTATTTTTTATTTTTTTTAAAGTCATTTGCATTTTCAATAGAATGACTTAGTACGAGAACAAAAAAAGCTCTACACCGAATAAGACATCTAGTATAAATTATATTTTTTATAAAGAGAATCAATATAGATTTTGATAAAAGTTGACAGAATATTTAATTAAAAATTTGATAAAATTTATGAATTTCATATGTTATCAATAATAAATTTTTTAAAAATTAGGGCCAACCAAAGGCAAAATATTATCCACTACTATTATATATTATATTAATAGACTAAATTTTTTATATAGATTAATATGGTGCACTAAGAAATCTTAAATTATACACATCACACTTAAAATTTTTTCTAGTTTTGAATTTTTCTTTTAAATATTTTATTTTTTCGACCCGATTCAAAACAATGGAAAATTATAATTGTTGGAGCGACAATTTAATGTCTTCTAAAACTTTCTATTAGTTAATTTTCCTTAAAAAAAGCTTATATTCTTGATGTCGATAAATTTGATTTTTCAGTAAAATTGATCGACCATGCCGATTGATTAGATTTAGATGGTTGGGAAAATGGCCTATATGTTGAATATCTATTTCCTTTTCTTAATGAGTTTGTTTCTCGTATTTTTGTTTGTTTTATTTTATTTTTTTTGTCGATAGGAAATTTTATGCTTACATTTCTGAACATTGATTCATTCTCATCGATAAACATTTTTTGTGAATTTTTTGGAGGCTGGTAAGGTTGTCTTACAATATTTATGTAATTTGAGATCGAAAAATATTTATGATGTTTGA